TTAACACTCCGTTTGGACGAATTAAATCTATTATTGGAGAAAGAACGTTCTCAAGGCAATGTTCTCTCGAACTACAAAGAATTAGTAAATAAAGGACGCCAACAATTGAATGTAAAAGATGATTCAACAGCTTTTTCAAATATTAGTCAGAACAAAGATGGAAAGATGGATGGTAGTTTATCTGAACAAGAATTAAATGCGCAAATTGTTTATGGTAAATTTCGAATCTATAAGTAAAAAAATATTTCTATAGCTAATATGAAGGTCGATGAATTAGAAAAACGAGCTGAAAAATCTCAGGTACTGACGATACTTATTTATATTTTTTTTATTTTTTTAGTCAGGAGAAAGTCAAAAGATTTTTGAGGCTTTGGAAAAACAACGAAATATTGACGAAAAGTTTGTTTATTATTTAACATGTAAATAAATATTAATTTTTAGACTTTCCAAGCTTCATGTAGATATTGAATTACAGAAAGCAAAAAAATACGAAAATCAATTAATTGAAGAAAAGGTATTAAAATGAATGAGCCAAATTCTCAATAAATAAGCTTTTGACTTAATTTAGAGGCAACAATTCCATAAAGAATGGGAGACAGAAGTAGATGTTCGTTTGAGAAATGCCGCTTTGGCACATGCTGAACATTTGGAGAAAGTAATTAGAACACAGAAACAGTTGCATGATATTGAGAATGCTCAAATTGTTGAGGTAATTTTGAGTTTAGAATATCGACGATATGTAATTGATAAAATTGAAAATTTCCTTGAGTTTTTTCATTAATTAACCGTCAAAAAATGTTTTGTCTACTTCAATTTTTAAATAAAAATATTTTCAGGAAGCTGTTAATATTGAACGAAATAAGTTTGCTAAACAGATTGAATTGGCTTTGGTATGTCCAAGAAATAAATTTAATTTTATATTTTTTAGAAAAGATTAAATGGAATTGAAAATGCATTAAATAGTCGAACAGCGCAGGTATAATTCAAAAATTATTTTTTATAAAAATATTTTTAAGGATCTAGAAAATCGACGTGCAAAAATATTTTGGTGTGTTTGCCAAAATCTTGTTGATTCTTTAATTGGTCGAAATAATTCTCAACATTTTATACAATTAAATGAAGTTAGAATTTTTAATTATTATTTTTTTCTAATTTTAAATTTTAGATTAAATTAATTAGTAATTTGGGTGAATTTGATGGGTTTGTTCAAACAATTTGTAATTGTTTTCCTAAAGAAATAAAACAAGATGAATTAAATTATGTTCAGACAGAAGAAGGGTTAAAGAAACGTTTTGAAAAGGTTTGAATTTTTAGTTTTTCATGAAAAAGTAAAAGAATTTTTGGAGAGATTTTTTTAAATATTGTTCAGTCGATTATTCTTGACCCTTTACAAATTCCCTTTTCATCCTTTTTTGGTGTGTGAATAAGAAATAGCTCGTCAAGCCGAATCGAATAAACGGTATTCAATGCAGGGTTGGACACCCCTTACCCACACACAATTATTTAATTCATCCAGAGAAATAACCGACAAGTATTCAACTTTTTTTAATATTTTTAATTTAGGTTTATAAATTAGCTCGTTGTACTGCTCAAATTGGTGAAAACGGAGGAAGTCCATTTGAATATTTTCTCTCATGGTTACAATCTTTATTTGTTCTTCAAGTAGCATCAGCCAACTATTCAAAAGATGATAAAATTGATGTTGACAAATATGAGCCTTATGAAATTTTAAATAGAATTAAATATTTTGTTAAAATTGGTGATTTGAAAAATGCTGTTCGTTTGGCTAATTTATTAAAGTAAATTAATTTTAATTATTTTAAATATTATTTAATATAATTTTGCATAATTTTAGGGGAGAATCCGCTAGAACTTTTCATGATTGGATTCGTGATGCCCAACTTCATTTAGAGGCTCGTTTTCTATCTGAATTACTTCTTTCACATGCTCAAGTCACCTTAATTAGAACAACGTATTAAAATAAATAGATATTATTTCCTATTAAAAAAGGCTCAGAAATGTTTGAAATTATAATAAAATTTTTGATTTAAAATTAAATTTTGAATTTCTGACATTTTTCTATAGTTATTTAGAGAATAAACAGATGTATTAAAATAATAATTTTTAAGATAAAATTTATTGAATTTTTAAATTGGGTAGTTAAACTAAGTAAACAAACTTTAACATAAATTAATTTTTCTAAATAAAAATCGAAAATATTTTGATTATATTTAGTTTTTAAATATTGGAAAATGACATAAATATAAAGTAAAATTAATATTTTTTGGAAATAATTATTGACCTTTGTTCTAACAATAAGTTTTTTTCATCTTTAACAAAAGATCACCATCACACACATCGGGAATAGACACGTGAATTCGCCATAAAAATTTTTGTCTGTAAGAATACTATGTACATAATACCTTTTTTGTCGAGTACACAAATTTCTCTTTTTGATTTATTGCATTTTTAAAATTTCTTTTTAATTTAAAAAATTAAATTTATATTTTAAAATCAATTTATAAAAAATAATTGAAAAGAAATTATCAATAAAAAAATCTAAATTACCTAGTTTATAAAAACTTTTTATTTCTCTTAAAATTAAATTAAAATTCTCTCAATTCTTTTCTTTGTTGAGGACATAATTCCACATTTATGCGCCCGATCGAAATGAATAAGTTTCCATAAAAATATCCATTTCAGCAAAAAAAACAATTTAAAAGTTTTTAATAAAGATTAATCCTTGCTCAAGGGCCAATAGACCTTAATTTAAAAGAATTGTATATATGGGACGCATGTCCTCGACTAGAGTCAATTAATCTTTTTTATCGGCTTATTACACCAACAAAATATTATTGTAAAATAAACTTGATCGGTTTATTTTTTTAACAAATATTATTTTCGCACTTTTTGTGTTTATTTTTTAAAAAGTCAAAATTATGTGTGGTTGTTTTATATTTTATTTTTTGATTTAAAAATTAAATTCATTTAAAAAATAAAATTCAAAAAAAAATTTTTTTGTTCAAAATTTCCTTTAAAAAATTTTTTCTTTCCTTATTTTTAAACCTCTTCAATTTAATTTCTTTACAAACACTTTAAATTAAATTGAGGAACAATAAATATATTTTTCAAATAATAAAAGAATTATTTTTCTGATTATTTTAATCGTTTTTTTTTCTTTAAATTTAATTTTTTTTATTTTTAAATTTATCATTTAAATATATTTTTTAGTTTTTATTTAAAAATAATTTTTTAAAAAAAATGACTGCTAAATTAAAAAATCCAGCAACTACAACAATAATTAACGATAATTTAGTCAAAAATAGTTCAGAAAATTTTGAAACAGAAATTCAAGCAAAAAAGCCGAGATTTAGTTTAGAGGTTGGTGGAAAACATAAAAATAAATTTATTTATTTTTATTTATTTTAAGTATAGTGTGTTAAGAAATTATAACCCCCCTTGAATTTTTTGAGTTTCTTACCTTCCCGATGTCGGATTGTTCTGAAATTTCTGTAGTAGTGTTGTAATGTATATTAAATAATATTTACAAAATATCTTTAAAAATTTCTGATCTCAGACTTTTTTTTGGACGTTTTTCCAAAAAATCAGTGTTAATAAATTATAACCCCCCTTTAAAAAAATTTTTTTAACGCATGGAATATCTCTACAAAAATTTTTCTGAACATATCTACCAATATAGATAAGAAATACAAAAGAAATGAAGTTCTTATGTATTCCCATCATCGAGATCTCGAAATCCGAAAATCAACGGAAAACCGGGGTAGACGTTTTTAAAAAATATTTTCGACCCCTTACAGGTGAAATAAAAATTTTATTTTAGGCTTATCTGAAAGCCCTTTAAATTTTCTACAAGATAGTTTTTATCTCATTATATAGAAAAAATTCACCGTCGAGAGACAAAGTGATAAATTTTCAAGTCATAGAAATCACTCAAACGCCCCCAAAAATTGATAGAAATTTAACCTATAATTTAAACTCATAGTTTCTTATAGGCGAATTTTTTTCTGAAAATAAAATGAATGCTATCTTGTAGCAAATTTAAAGGGCTTTCAGATAAGCCCAAAATAAAATTTTTATTTCACCTGTAAGGGGTCGAAAATATTTTTTAAAAACGTCTACCCCGGTTTTCCGTTGATTTTCGGATTTCGAGATCTCGATGATGGGAATACATAAGAACTTCATTTCTTTTGTATTTCTTATCTATATTGGTAGATATGTTCAGAAAAATTTTTTGTAGAGATATTCCATGCGTTAAAAAAATTTTTTTAAAGGGGGGTTATAATTTATTAACACTGATTTTTTGGAAAAACGTCCAAAAAAAAGTCTGAGATCAGAAATTTTTAAAGATATTTTGTAAATATTATTTAATATACATTACAACACTACTACAGAAATTTCAGAACAATCCGACATCGGGAAGGTAAGAAACTCAAAAAATTCAAAGGGGGTTATAATTTCTTAACACACTGTATAATACTAAAGAAGAAGAAAATTTAAACAATGTTTGTTTTGACAATAAACAACAAAAATTTTATTCTTTAAATGACAATAATGAATTAAAAAAAGAAATAAATAATCAAAATTCATTTGAAAAAACAATTTCTCAGGCAAAAACAAAATTTTTGGGAAGTTTAATACGTTCTAAAACTAATGGGGATAATGAATATTTTAAAGATGGAGGAGGAACATTTAGACAAAGAAAGGACACAATAAATCCTTGCGACGATCCAGAAATTGTAAAAATAAATATTTAAATTTAGAAAAATTAAATAATATTCATTATTTTTCTTAAAGTATTTGGTTCTATCATAATTACCCGCGTATTTTAATTGTATTTAAATTGCAAAAACCTCAAATTTTAGAATTTGAGGTTTATTTATGTAAGTAAAATTTTCCGTTGGAGCCTAAAAATAATTCCAGAGTTAGGAGTATTCTAGAGGTTCTTAAATGCGAGTATAAACATAGAAAATAAAAAGAACATGAGAAGTAGTAAAGAGCAGATCCGTGGCTACAAATTGGTATAAGGGACAAAAAGAATAAAGCTATTTTATTGTTTATATTCGTTATAGGAAAAATATGCGGGGGTAATTATGATTAGATCGAATAAATAATTCTTTTTCAAATAAATCTAAAAAAAACTTCCTTTAAATTAAAATTAAAAATTTTTTTATAAAGTTTCGAGAAAAACTTTTTGATAATGAAAGAGAAGGAGGTTTTGGTTGGATTCGTGGTGTTCTAATTCGTTGTATTCTTTGTATTTTTGGAGCTACACTTTTCTTAAGAATGTCTTGGATTGTTGGCCAAGCTGGATTAAGTAAATAAATTTAAATATTTTTTTAAAAAATTCTATAAAGTTCTGGGTATTTTTGTAATAATTCTCTCTTTTATTGTTGTTATTATTACTGCAATTTCCATGTCGGCAATAGCAACAAATGGAGAAGTTAAAAGTGGTGGTTGTTATTATTTAGTTAATTTTATTTTAATTTATACATATTTCCAATAAAAATATTTTTTAGATTTCTCGTTCATTGGGGCCTGAATTTGGTGGAAGTATTGGATTAATACTTTATGTAGCTAATACTGTTAATGCTGTAATTTTAGAAAAATAATTCTAAAAATATTTTCTTTTTAAAGTCAATGAATTGTGTCGGTTTAGCAGAAGCTTGTGTTGAAGTTTTAAAAAATTCTTTTAATTTTTCTTTAATTGATGGAGGGATAAATGATGTTAGAATTTATGCTTCTTTAATTTGTTTGATTTTACAATTAATTATATTTGTTGGAACTGAATTTGAAAATAGAATGCAGTTAGCTTTATTAGGGACTATTTGTGTTTGTTTGCTTAAATAATTAAAAAATAATTATTTTTTTATTTTAAAGTTAACTCTTATAAGTCATTTAATTGGAACATTTTTACCTTTAAATGAATATCAACTTAAAAGAGGAATTGTTGGATATTCTTTGGCTGCTCTTTTTGACAATTTGGGGCCAGAATTTAGAAATGTTCCCGATGCTATTTATGGAAGTTTTAATTGGGCTTCTATTGGGATTATACACATGTTTGGAATTTATTTTCCAGCAATGACTGGAATTATGGCCGGGGCGAATATGTCTGGTAATTAATTAAATTATTGAAAGAGGGAGCTTTCAAAAATTTAATTTTAAATTAAAGGCGATCTTCGAGATCCATCAAAATCTATCCCAAAAGGAACATTTTGTGCTATCGGAATTACTACACTTGCTTATGGATGGTATGTAGAAGGAGAATTTTAAAAATAAATTTAACAAAAAAATTTGAAAAGGTGTATGGTAATTACAGCATTAACTACAGTCAGAGATGCTACAGGAAATTCATTACCAGAATTTGATAAATATTTAAATCGTTTTATTCCCCCAGAATGCCGTTTAAATGATACTTGTCATTTTGGATTGGCTAATGATTATCAAGTAATTAATTGGAAGGATTTTTATTTTATAATTAAAATGAAAAGGTAATGACTTTACAAGGAGCTTGGGAACCTTTAATTTTTGTTGGTGTTTTTGCTACTTCATTAAGTTCAGTTTCTGGTTGCCTTATTGGTGCACCTAGAATATTTCAAGTAAAAAAAGAATTATAAAAATAAATATTTATTTATAGGCTTTATGTGCTGATAAACTTTTCCCTTTAATTCACCCATTTGCTAAAGGAAATGGAAAAAATAATGATCCTTTTCGTGCTTATTTTCTTACACTTTTAATAGCTTTATCAGTTATTATGATTGGTTAGTTTTATTTTTAAAAAGTATTTTGAAAAAAAAATGGAAGGTGATAATTTTAAAGAAAATAAATTTAAATTAAAAAAACAGTCTTTCCCCCATTCCCTAAGTCTTAAGGGGAAAAATAAGGAAAGGAAAATCAGAATATCTTTCAAATATTAAAATTAATTAAATAGGAGAGCTTAATCCAATTGCCGATTTAATCTCAAATTTTTTTCTTGCCGCATTTGCAATAACTAATTTTGCTTGTTTTGATGCTTCTATAGCTAAATCTCCTGGTTTTCGTCCAGGCTTTCGATTTTACAATAAATGGCTTTCTTTGTTTGGATCAGTATGTTTTATTTTATTTTAATTAATTAAAAGTAATTTTTAAAGATTCTTTGTGTTTGTATTATGGTAAATTAATTCATTAAAATAATTATTCTTAATTTTTTCAAAAAGTTTATGCTAAATTGGTTAACTTCTCTTGTAACATTTTTTGTATTTTTTCTTCTCTTTGTTTTTATTAAATATAACAAATCTCACATTAATTGGGGTACTTCAACAGATGCAAATCGTTATCGTCGAGCACTTAATTCTTTATTAAAAATTTCGAGAACAGAAGATCATGTCAAAAATTATAGGCCCCAATTACTTGTTTTAACTGGAAATCCTGTTGCTAGACAAGTAGTTTGAAATCGGGAAAAAATTTTATATTTATTTATTTAGGCCCTTGTAGATTTTGCTTATTGTATTTCTAATGGAAGAAGTCTTCTTCTTTGTGGACATGTAACCCCTCACCAATCCTCAGTCCAAGCAACAGATTTAATTCGAAAATTAAATAATAGGCTAGAAAATATTTTCTTTAAATTAAATTTTCTTTTTTTAAAGATTTACTGACTGGCTTTATGATCAACATATTAAAGCTTTTTATTGTGCTGTTGCTCATCGTTCCCTTCGTGAGGGTGTTCAATGCCTTTTGCAAACTGTTGGTTTAGGGAAAATGCAGCCAAATATTTTGGTGATTTTTGGAAAAAAATTAAAGTACCTAAATCTTTTTTTCTTTCTTTAGATGCTTGGTTATAATTCTCATTGGTTAAAACAATGTGTTTCTGATAAATCTAAATACGAAGAATATATGGGGGTTATTGCTGATGCTTTTGATGCAAAAATGGCTGTTTGTGTTTTTCGAAATGAAAATGATGGTTTAGATCATTCAGCATTACTTTCAGAAGAAGAACAATTATTTGTTCGTTTACCTGATTTGGTAAAATTAAAAAATATTAAAAAAAAATAATTTTTTCTTTTCTTAAAAAGCTTAATTCTGATCGTAATTCAACACTACAGGATGATTTAAGTAGAGGGGTAGAGGCACGTAAGATTCGTCCAAAAGCAAAATCTTCATTACGCCCCTCTGCCTCTTCAACGGCAATTATCTTTCCTTCAGGAAAATTTGATAATCCATTTCAAATAGAAAGAAATTTAAGCGGAAATTCACTTGATTCGCAAACAAAAAAGAAGAAAAAACAAAGAAGAAGACATTCCCCTTTATCAATTAATTCCTCTTTTGGATGTCGAATTAATAAATTTGATCAATTTCATAGACCATTACCAAACACAAAATTTAGAACACAACTCCGAGGAGGTATTTGTAATTTTATTGCAAGATTAGGAGAACAACCCTATTCTTAATTATTTTCTTAATTAAATATTAACAATTAAAAACAGGATTTGTTGATGTTTGGTGGTTACAGGATGATGGAGGCCTTTTATTATTATTATCACATTTACTTCGAGAACATAATACTTATTTACCTGTTAGTCTAAAAATCTAAAAATAATTTTAATTTTTTTAATTTTTAGAATGCAAAATTGCGAGTATTTACAATTTGTTCGAGTAAATTAGATCCAATTAAAGTTTATCAAAATTTAGTAGAATTACTCAAAAAATTCAGAATTCATTTTTTTATGGTACATGTTTTCTCTGAAGATTATGATCGTCAAAAACTTTATACAGAAACGTAAAAAGACTTTTGGAAAAATTAAAAAATATTTAACTTCTTTTTAGATTAGAAGAATACGAGGAACTTATGGAATTACTTAAAAGGAAATCTTCAAATGATGAATTTATAATAACTGATGAAATGTTGGAGAGAACAAGAGAAAGAACATACCGATATTTGAGACATAGAGAATTACTTTTAGAATTCTCCTCAGCTTCTTCAGTTGTTTTAATGTACAGAATTTTTAAAAGATTTTTTTTAAAGAATTTTTAATTTTAAGTTCACTTCCAGCAGCTTCTAGCGCTGTAGTTCTCTCACCTGTTTATGCACTTTGGCTAGAATTATTATCTCGAGATATGCCTCCAATGCTTTTTGTGAGGGGAAATGATAATTCTGTGATTACTTTTTACTCATAAAAATTTATTTTTTCTTTGTTTATTTTTAAATAATGTATAAAAATGTAAATAAGTCCTGATTTATAATTATAGACTCGACACATTTTCGGCGTTTCTGATTTCTGTTAACCGATTTGGCTTAAATTTTTGTATAAAATCATAATGTGTATTAAAACAAATTTTAAGGAATTCTAGATATGAAACAATTTTTTGCGATCTCCGGATTTTTTCAGACCGGATTAACCCGGAAAAATCCGGCTAGATCCGTGACATCTCAAGTTGCAAATTCGGATCCGGGCAAGAAAAATCGAATTTACCGGTCACTAAGGAGAAGTAAACAGCATCACTCAATTTACAGTATCATTCAGTCAACAACATTAAATGGTCCTTTTTGAAGAGAAGGATGATTCGGTGTGGTTGATTTATAGTCTGATTATTCTCAACAATTTTTCCAAGATATTTTTCATACAGTAGTTTTTATTGTAGTTTTTATTATTTTTTAAATAGTCTTATCATTTTCTAAATTTTATCCTTTAAAAAATGTGCAGAATTTTCAATTATTTCTAGGAATTTAATATGAAAAGTATAGTCTCTACCGAGCCCAGTGTCAATACTTGTGAAGATTCAAAAAGTAGCGAGTCATCCTCAGCAAGTAATTTTATATTATTTTATTTAAAAAAATAATTTTTAGATCCAGAGATTAGTGCCGAACAGGAATTTTGTCTTTATGAATTGGAAACATTATCTGACTCTTCCAGCATAGGATTAGTTTTGCGGTAAATTTTGATTGTTTTTAAGGAAACCTGCATTCGGCTTAAAATTTAATGAAAATTACCCAAAGCTTAAACTAAAAAAATTAAAACTAGAGACATTTTGTTTCGTGGTTTTGAGCAGATTGGGACACGGACACTGATCTTGGTATCCGTATCCGCGTATTTACGACGGATACAAGCGGATATCCGCAGGCATTTTAATATTATCTGTATCCTTATCCATGCCTGGTTTTGGAACCATGGCTTTTTGAGTTGTTTTCAATTTTGGGTCGTCTAATTGGGATTATATTCAAAAATAATTTAGTGCAATCTATGATACTGGAAGTGTTCATAAATTTACTCGAGCATTGGATAAGCGTATAACACATTATGACAAAAGCATTTTACGTGTATGTACCCACCATTATCAAGGATTTTTGGATTCATTGAAACAACTTCGTGGTTTAAAAGAAAAATGTGCTGAAATTAGAGTTTGTTATTAAATAGTTTAATTAAAAATATTTGAGATTTTATTCAATTATAGTAAATAAAAATAAAGTTTAGTCAATGTTTTACAGATTCTCTATTTTTTCTATTTAATTTCTAGAAAAATGCAGAGGAAACTAATCAACTAGTTCAAGAAGAAAGCCGAGCATTGTTAAAGCGTAGTTCGGAGATAGTTCGCTATAGAAAATTGCAAAGAAATGCAAACAATGCTATTCAACAAATTTCTATGTGTTTGCCAATGTTGGAGAATTATGCTCAATTGGAAAAATTAATGGAACAGAAAAAGTATTTTTAAATAATCTAAACAAACTTCTTTGATTTTATTTTGAAAATTTTTTATTTTCCTCTATTTTCAGATACCTGCAAGCTCTCAAAGTTTTGGAAGATCTCGAACATAATTACCTCAATCAATTGCATAAATACCGTTTTGCCCATCAGTTTGCTAAATCTACTGGCCCAATCCGTGATCAAATACGCGAGCGTTCATATTCTGAATTAACTGATTTTCTCGAGAATTTAATGGTTAAAATTTTTAATTTTTCCTTATAAATTTTTATTTTTTAAGAAGTCATCTGAACGAATTGGTGCTGATGCTTCTAAACACGTTTTAAATACCTTTGATATTTTTATTTATTTTTATTTAGGTAGACGAATTTTATACAAAACAGCAATTGTGCACTATTACCTCTAAACGTTCACAGGCTTGTAGTGTGGACCCTACATTGTCCAGAAAACAGCAATCTTTAGACATTAAACTCTCTGCAGATGGTTCTGTGATTAAAACAAATATATCTACCTCAAATTCATCTCAAAATTTGCAGCAACATTTAGCTAATTCAACTGAAAAAAATCAACCTATTAATTGCCGATTTGATGCTTATGATAAATTGGATTTTGGACCAGTTCATCGTTGCTGTCAAATATTTAATGTTTTGGTATATTTTAATTTGATTTAAATTTTTATTTAAATAAAATTTTTAGAATGATCGTGAGAAATTTGAAGTTTATTACCGAAAGCAGCGTTTTGATCAAATTCAACTTATTTTGGAAAGACATACTTATTTGGTTAATTTATTTTTTTTAATTTTAAATTTAATCTTTTTTAGAGTAAAGAAAATTTAAATTCAATTAATTCATTTATTCCTTATCTTAATACAATAATTGGCTTCTTTATAATCGAGGATCGTATTGCACAAATGCAGTCAACGTTGGTTACTGAATCACATAAAGAGGAGCTTTGGGAATTAACTTTATGCCGTATTACTGAAACAATTACTTCTCATTTTGTAATTTTGTTTAATTTTCTTATAAAACAAATTTTTAGGGAAATTGCACAAATGTTGATCTAATTTTTGAAATGAAAAAATTAATTCTTTTACTTTCTTTAACTATAAAGAGTTACGGATATAATCCTAATCCTTTTTACAATCTTCTACAAAATTTCAGGTTTATTTTATTTTTATTTAATTTTAAAATAAATCAATTTTTAGAGATAAATATAGTGAAATATTAATAGAAAAATATGCTAGTAAATTTAAAGAAACACTTGAAAGTGACGATTGCACTCCAATAGAGACTAAAAATGAGGAAGAATATCGACAAGTTATCTCTGAATTTCCAATTTATCGAAGGGGAATAGATCACGTAGATTTTTTATTATTTTGTAAAAAAGTTTTTTGTTTATTAGGAAGCTTTTCCAAGAAAATTTCCATTTTCTCGTTTTGTCCCACAAGTTTATTCTTTACAAGCAAAGGCATTTATTACCGATTGTGTTCGTTTTATGGAAGATTTGCAACTTTCACAATCTGAAGTTGGTGATACAGTTAGGCGTTATTGTAATGTTCTCTTTGCAAGATGGTCAGATGAATTGAAAATGTTTATAGGTTGTCAGAAACGTTCTTTAGTCCAAGTAAATTTTATAAAATAAATTTTTATATAATTTTCTTTTGATTTTAGCTTATTCAAATAACAATCAATATGGGTTATTTGGAACGTTCTTGTGAATTTTTGGAACGGATAATTTCTGAAGCAGCACGTAATTTAAGCGAAACTGACATTAGCAATTTTTCCGGTGGAAGTGGAAATCTTTCGGCACTCGCATTTGATGATACGGCTGGACATTTTGTAGCACTTAAAAATCAATGTTAAATTTTTTAAAAATTTGTTTCTAAATTTCTTTTCTTAGTGTTCCGTGACTCACGTTCTGAAGTTGAACAATTAATTGATGAAGCCTTTCGTGAAAAAGTCCAAGCATTTCTTGATAATTGTACTTTTTTTGTAAAAAATTTTTTCAAATAATTAATTTAGTAAATTATGACTGGGAATTACAGCATCCAACTGGTGTAGCTAGTGACAATATTTCAGATATGATTACATTTCTCACTTCAACATTTATCAATTTCACCAATTTGCCGAATGTTTTAGCTCGGCATATTTGCATGCAGGTGGATGGATAATTATTAATTAATTTTTATTTATTTCTTTAGGCTTGTAAATTCTTGGCTGAACGTCTTCATTCTATGCTTTTATCGCCTAAACATAAAGCCATTAGTATGGGTGCTCTTGAGCAGTTTTCATTAGATGTTATGCAGGTAAATTGTTTTATTTATTAAATATATAAATTTATTTTAGTGTGAATTGTTCGCCGCCCAGTGTCCGGTGCCTGGATTTGAAGACAATGCTCTAGCTATTACATTTGCACATTTACGTCAATTACTGGATTTAGTAATGGGACCAGACTGGACAACGTTTTTTAGTGAAAGAGATGCGTCTCAACAACAAAGAACTGAAAATAGTGTGGCACCAAAATATACTCGAGTTAAAGCTTCAAATGCTGCTATTCTTCTTGAAAAGTTTCACAATTTGCTTAATTATCTTTTTTTATTTTATTTAAATTTAGGATAGTAGAATACGAGAAGCGAAACGCTGGGTTTTTCGCACTTAATAGAGGCGATCGACATAAGCTCTATGAAACAATATTAAAGAAACTGCGGAGTTTTAATGATTAACTGATTTTGATTTTTTGAATTTATTTTGTTTTTATAATTTAAAAGGCTGTGATTAATATACTATAAATTAACATTAAATTTATGAATTCGTGTCATTTAAATTCTCACAGAAAGTGCGTTATAACAGCGTTATTAAACCTAAATGTAAATTGGACTTTCAAAATAAATAATTAATAGGTTTAGAAAATGATGGATATAGCAAGTGACGAGGAAGATACCCAAATAGAAGAACGTATGGCTCTTATTGTTGGACCTAGAGCAGAACATGATGAGTTGAACAGACGAAAAGAGTTGAGAAAGAGGCTTGGTCGAAAAGCAGTCCGATATAGGCGATGGATTATGCAGGTTATTTTAATTTTCAAATTAGTGCAAAAAGCCTTGACAATTGGGCTGTAATGGTAAATGCCTTTAAAATTGACTTCTTTAGACAACGTTGGATAAACTGCATTCCGTGGCGAATCCACTAAACGATGGTCAGGAGCCCACTGAATTGTTGCCTAATCAAGATGTTGAGCCAAAACAAATGAGACAAAATGGTGTTAGTCTTGAGTTTAGAAGGGTTGTCCAAGAGGAAACTGAACAATTTATGTTACAGAGCAGTTCTCAACAGGTTATAAAAAATTTTATAGCTGGTTTTGAATTTTTTCTTACATTTTTTATATTTGAGGCTGTAGTCACTGAGACCCAATGGTATCTAAGGCTGGTCGATGAAATTCCTGTTCCGTTCAGTTGGAGAGAAAATGTTCTGCAATGGGTAAATATTTTAAAAATAAAGTCGAAGGTATATAAGAAAATAAAATATAAATAAATACAGCGATCTACTATTGACAATGTTGATAGAATTATTGTTGATGATACTAATAATGATTGTCCTGTTCCTGCAAAAATTCTCAAAAGAAGTGACTCAATGATGGAAAATATGGAAGAAATTCGTGCTCAAACACCACCAAAAAGCAGCAAAACTTCTCGGAAAAAATCACAAGGTAGGCGAAGTTCATTGAGACTTTTGGCTAGAAAAAATGGAGATAACGATGTAGAATTAATTACTTTAATTTAAATTAAATAGAAGATTAAACATCTAACAAAATATATAAGGAATTTAAAAACAAATAAATATTTCATAGGAATTTTCTTTAATCTTACATTATAAACCCAGAAATATATATTTACAATTTAAGATTATTTGAAACTAAAATAATTTTAAATTAGTATATTTTTTTATATATAAAAACTTAAAATTTTATTAAATTATTCTTGTGAAACTAAATACGCTTCTTTATTTTTGTTAAATTCTCAGGTTTTCATTTTATTACGAGTTTCTGTTGTTATCTCTTAAATTTTCTCTAATCTCATCCAAATTTTAACAAACAAATTAAAATCTTTTTTTAATTTAACATTATAATATACGAAATTTCAATAAGCTTCCTATTGTAAAGTGACGACTTTCTTTATTTACGCCGAGATATGGCTGGTCAGCAGGCCCGTAGCCAGGATTTTTTTTCGGGGGGGGGGGGCCAAGGGGGGAAAATTTTTTCTGCGCCAAATTTTTGGCGCCGAAGGCGCCAAAAATTTTATTTTCCAATTTTATTTTATTAAAAATTTTATTTTCCAATTTATATCAAAAATTTTATTTTCCAATTTTATTTTCCACCCTTCCCCAAATTTTTTCCTTTTTCCCATTTCGGGGGGGGGGGGGGAATTCCCCCCCTCACCCCCCCCCTGGCTACGGGCCTGCTGGTCAGAGTGTAAATTGACTATGGCAAATTTGGGAATACTCTCGGCCCTCTCCTTTTCCATTTCCTCTGCGAGAACATTTTATTTTTTAATCTAAAACGCCATATTTACTCAAATGCCCCTCTCCAAAAAACCGAAAGTTAGACCGGCCATATTTTGCCCAAAATCATTTTTCATTTAAAAGAAAGTCGTCTCGGGATAGCAATTTGGAATTCCTCTATCGAAACCAAAATAAATAATTTTGTATTCATTAAGTGAATTTTTAGTTGGGATGGGATTATAATACTCGTAAGATAGCTCAAAATACTTAATTTTATTTTTATTGTTGAAATTTTTATTTAAATAAAATTTTATACGTTTTTTATTTTTATACAAAATATTAAAAAAGTATAAATACCTAAATATATTTTTTTAATTTTAAGACCCATTTTAATCTTATTTTGTGCTTTAAAAATAAAATATAATTATGGATGAATATGGTCGAGAACCTTGGTATTTATTTATATATTTAATTTTTTCTTCTTTTTAAGTCCTCATCGAATTTATGCTGATGCTGGAAGTGCTTTTGCCATGGGTCTTATTGGTGGTTCTATTTTCCATGGAATTAAAGGATTTCGAAATGCACCAAAAGGATTTAACCAAAGTTTGATTGAGCAAATTTGCTCTATTTTTATTTTTCTTAGGATTGCTCAACGCTGGTCGCGAGATACGTATTCGAAGTCCTGTCACGGGATCACAATTTGCAGCGTGGGGAGGGATGTTCTCGGTTATTGATTGTTGTATTGTTTCTGTGCGGAAAAAGGTTTTTAAAAATAAAGTTAGGAATTTTGAAAACTCGGGAAAATTTTTGGAGTTTCGAAGGCAGGAAGCCATAATTCGTTACTGCCACAATGTTTTTGGATAAAGTATAATAAACCAGCATTCTTAAATTTATACATTTTTATGTCAATCGAAAGCTCTGCGATCTGACATGAGTCAAATAACGTCAAAATTATTCCGTAGTGAATTTTTAATTGGGATGGGAATACAAAAAAGGGGAAAAAGGTGATACGAAAATATGAAAAATGTGGGGGTTTCTTTGTAAATAATGAATATACTTTTTTTAAATTATTAGGAAGATCCTTGGAATTCAATAATGGCTGGTGCTGCTACTGGTGGTCTTCTCTGTGCTCGAATGGGAAAAGGTCCAATGATAGCTTCAGCAGCATTTGGTGGAATAATTTTGGCAATGATTGAAGGTGCTGGTCTTTTAATGAATCGATTTACTGCAACTTGGATGATGGGTCAACAACAACAAATGCCTCCGCCGCCTGAAGAGCCGAGAGCGTTAGGAGCAAAAGAGAAACAAACATCAGAAAAGCAATCTTCTAGTAGTGGTTCTATTCATTCTACGAACTTTTCTGAATCTTCTGCTAATGTTGCTCCATTTGGATTTGCCACACAACATTAAGGGTGTTTATTTTTGTGGAAAAGAATTCAAATTTATTTTTTATGACAAAGGAGAGAAATAAAATATTAAAAATTTTTTAATAAATTTTTGAGATTCGAAGTTTCTCTCTCTGTCATTCCCATATTCCCCCAATCCTCTTAGTTGTTGATTTTTATTATAAATGTTTTAAATAAAAATAAATTAGAAAAATAATTAAATGTTTTTTTATTGTTAGAGAGAAAATTTATATTTTAAAATTAATTTAAAATAGGTAAACTGAATGTTTGTAAAATTAATTTAAAAATATTTTTTAATTAAAAAATAATTATGGTAAAGTAAAAATTTCGATTATATATTTTGTTTAAATCTCCAAATAATTGTTAAAATAGAAAAGCAAAGAAAGAAAAAGAACTCAAATTTAATTTAAATATTTCTATAAGATTAACTAAATCCTTTTTTAAAGGACAAAATATTCCCACATTTTAAAAAGTAAACCTTAAAAATGTTTTATTTGTTACTTTTATTTTTTGTTTTATCTAAGAATTTTTAAAATTTAATATGTTAATTTAAATTTATCCACAGATTATACATATACAATCAAACTTTATGTGCCAATCAACTTTTTACTACGGGGAAAATTTAGGACGGACGGGGAATTTTTTACATGAAAATTTCGAAGTCATTCCCATCCACTTTATAAAGTTTAAGCCACATTTTTATCCATTTTTTGTTTATGTTCATTTCTTGGCTTTTTTAGTGTTTGTTTAGAAAAAAACGGAAGAAAAAGGTCTCATTTCAATTCAGCAGATTATTTTTCACTTTCAAAACGAAAAAATAAAAGAAAAATATAAGTGGAAGAAAGGGTGTGGTTTTAAGTAAAAAATGATGGTTAAAGTCTTTTTTGAGGATACTAAATAGCTCTTTCTCTAAATGTGCGCGAGTTGGCTGCTTTAACTAAAAAGCTTTATTTACATTTTCTCCTTCCTTTATATTTTTTATAAACATTTTTAAAAATTAAGATAACCTCCAATAAATAAATAACTTTTTTAGTGTTAAATAGGTTAAAATGGCTTCTTATTATTAAAAAATTTTAATCATTTACTTCACTAGGGTCGAGTCATAATTACGAATTATGACGTAATCCTGACTATCACAACTGATATAAATTTATAAATTTTTATTTTAATCTCGTCCTACTTTTAAGCAAACTAATCTTGTCTTTTAGTATATTTCTCAATAAGTATTTGTTTTAGTATAATAATTTTCTTCGGCAAGTTTACGGCTTTAGGTGTCAAGAATTTCTTATAAAATAATTATTAAAAATTAAATATTTTTAATAGAAAATGAAACAAAAAAGGATTTTAGACATTTTTATTTTAATATTCTTTATAATTTTACAAAATTTTGTTTTATCCTCAATAGTTGTTAAAGAAGAAGATTCCTCTGAAGAAAAACAACAAGAAATGGAAAATAAAAAAAGAGTTTTATGTCCATTAAATGAAAATGTTATTTGTAATGAGGAAGATGAAAGGGAATTTCATTGTGTTTGTACAATGTTTGGATCAAGTGTATGTATGGGGGAAGGGGGGGAGGAGGGGATTTTTGAATAAAGAATTCTTTTTAAAGGATCCAGCCCCAGAACAAACATGTAGTCGTTTACTCAATTTTACAAATAAAAGAGACAACTATTTTGAAGCAATTTCTGTAAAGCTTCGTCTTAAACAATTATTTTTCCCACAAAATGAAAGCAAAGAAAAAGGAAGTAACTGGGCAGATAATTATTTGGAAGAAAAGTTTAAAACTCAAATAAGTGGAAATTTTAAAATTCCTAAAGTATTTAAATTTTTCACTAAAATTTAGTTTTCTCGTGTTAGTAGCGACATTGTTAATGATGAATTTTTTATATGTTAAATATTTTTTTCCTTTCCAGTTAGGAGGGAGGGGGAGTCTAATATTTTATATTTTGTCGCTAATAACGAGAGTTGATAATAATTTAAAAATATTTTTTGTTGTCAGAGAAATATAATATTCCTTCGACTTCGCTGTTTAGAAGATGAAAATGAAGGAAAATTAAAAACCTCAAAAAATGATGAAAAAGTAATTGTTCAATTTGTTGTTTTACGTAAAAATAAAAAAAGAAATATTTTACCTCCACTTTCTCAAAATGATTTAATATCGGCAAGTACTGTGGTTAGTAGACTTAAAGGAATGAATGAGATACAAAGACTTGGTGGATTTGAAATTATACACGTTGAAAAGGTAAAAAATGAAAGAAAAATTTGAGAAATTAAAAGATTGGGGCAGAGAAGAATAACAAAATTATCTTTTTAATTATTAAATCCAAAATTAAAATATATGGCTGTAGTGTAGTGTACCGGTGGTAAAAGTTCGGGACGTGACATATGTCATTCGATTCGTCTCGACGAGCTGAGTCGAACGGTACCACTCCCTATTTTAGGAAATAATTCTGGACCGAGTTATAGGTCCCGGAAAATTGAAAAACCATAGGGGGGAGTAAGCTCGATTTTGGGGTGAAAAATTCGAATATGTAAATAATAGCTCATTCGAAAGAGCTCCTCGAGCTGAGTCGAATGACACCAAAATCAACAAAATCCGACTTGATTTGACAAAGTTACGATCGTTTGTTTTAGCTCCTTACCTATGGTCTCCATGGAGGGTTTTGCTGCTACGGAGGCTCCAGGTATGCCCAGAGCAAGGGAGATAGGAATAGGTTTATGTTACGAGCCCAGACCCACAGCCCGTAGACTCCCCGCGAGGCGCGTGCCGCAAACCCCCGCGCGAAGCGCGGGGGTTTGCACAAGCGCCTCGCCGACTCTCCATAGGTTTATGTTGCTTGTTTTTTGTGTCGTAACTTTGTCTAATCTTGTTCAATCACGGTGATTTTGGTGTCATTCGACTCAGCTCGTCGAGCTCTTTCGAAAGAGTTATTATTTGTATAAAAAATTTTTTATTCCAAAAATCGCCCCTTTGGATCTTCGATATTTAGGGGCCTATATCTCGGTCCAATCAAGTCGGATTTTGTTGATTTTGGTGTCATTCGACTCAGCTCGAGGAGCTCTTTCGAATAAGCTATTATTTACATATTCGAATTTTTCACCCCAAAATCGAGCTTACTCCCCCCTATGGTTTTTCAATTTTCCGGGACCTATAACTCGGTCCAGAATTATTTCCTAAAATAGGGAGTGGTACCGTTCGACTCAGCTCGTCGAGACGAATCGAATGACATATGTCACGTCCCGAACTTTTACCACCGGTACACTACACTATATCCAAATATATTTTTAGGTTGACGAACTTTTGCCTGTTGAATTAAATTTTGATAATTCGCGTTTAATTATACAAGCTATAGCTGTAATAATTTATTAAAAAATTAATTTTTTAAAAATTATTTTTAGGTTGGTATTTTTATTATTTTAACATGTTTGTGTGGTATTTGGGTAACTCTACGGAGACGTAGTCCGGAAGAGGATGGATATTCTGATGTTGAAGAACAAAAAGCAATAAAATGATAAAAAATATACCTACTAAATGCTCAATTATTTTATTTTAAAAAATATTATTTTATAGTTTAGTGAAAGATAAATATTTATAGAAATTGAAATATATTCAGATTTTCTTAGTTAAAAATAGGGGCAAACTTCGTTTAAAAACAAAACAAATTTTTTAAAGTTTTTATTAACAATAAAGTTACTATATAATTCCAAATAAATATAGGGGGATGGGCTTTTTTTTTAATTTTGCCCCCCCCCCCCACCCTCATAGGAAAGGTTTTTTAAGGAGGTTTTTAATTATTACGAAAAATAATAAAAAATTTATTTACAAATTTTTATTTTCATTGGATATTATTATTATTGGACATTTGTTGTGTAGAATGTAATGGTCTTGGTAATTTTTCAATTAAAGGCCTCAACTGTGTTTGTTCATCAAAATTCCTCCAAACTCTATATGTATTCAAAATTATTTGTTGAATATCAAAAACTTTTTCATAATCAACATTTAAGTCTGCCAACCAATTTCTCAATTCCTTTTCTTTATCTTTATCACGGCCATTTAAAATAGCGGCAATCATAATTGATGCTAAAAAATAATTTTTTTCTCTCAAATTATTTTTATTTTTGCCTATCGCAATCATATGAGGATGGTAAAGTAAAGCAGCATCACTTCTCATTCCATCATTACATACTCGCCAAGCATCCTGACAAAGTTGATCAACATTTTGAATAGAACAAGACTTCATATCCTTTAAAAATTAATTTATTTAGTCCCACCAAACATTCAAAAAAAACATTTCTAAATTGATGCAAAGATCTGTAGGGATGATAAACAATTAAAGAACAATCAAGCATTTCAACTAAACAAAATTCTGCTTCACTTCCCTTTATTTGATGAGAATTAATTTGGTGGTTGTGAGCAATTAAAGATTCTATAACCGGCCATTTCTTTGCTTTTTTGTTAAAAAATATTTTTTAATTTTTTAAATTTTTTACTTGTTCTTGTATATGCAGATATTAATTTATTTGGGGATAAATGCCCCATCTCTTCAACTTTACTAGCCAAATTAATACAAGTTACAGCTAACAAAAAAGGATCAATATCCTTTAAAGATCTTCTAAAAAAGAAAAATATTTTTAAAAAAATAATTCTTTTTAAAAATTACTTTGAATAAAATCTTCTAAAATAAACACAAGCAGAAGCAATTGCTTGCATTCTCAAAATAGGTCTATCCCTCCCTTCATTAATTGATTGACTAACTTCTTTTTCAAGACACTGTCCCATTGTTTGGATAACTTTAAAAAAATATTTAAAAAAAAATATATTTTTAAAACTTTTACAATTCATAAAGAAAATCATCAATTTTTGATATTCTTCCTCTGTATAAATTTTTAAATCATCTCCCCTTTCTCTCAAAAGATCACCTTTTTCTAATATCCACTGCTCGCTTAAATTAAAGAATTTCTCAATTTTTTGAATAAAACTTACAAATGTGAACTTCTCCAAAAATTACCAGCCATTATTAATTAAATACAAAAAAAGAGAGTAAAAATTAATAAAAGATTTAAAGATGTTAAAATAAATAATTATTTTTTAAAAAATACTATATAAAAATAAATAAAATATTCCCAAAACAATTTATTCCAAATTTTAAAAAAATGAGAAAAATTGTGACAATTTGTATTTGTGACATTTTGTTAGAAAATGACAATTTTAGTTTTTACGAAGGTCTATGAAAAATATATTGGTTATTGTTGCGACATGATAAAATTAATAAGTTTAGATTAATTATTAAGATTAAAAGGAAAGGATATTGACGAATAAATAAATTTTAGTTTCCTCAAAATTTAGACAAATTAAATTTTTAATTAAAAAAATTCGTCAATAGTGCTAGGGGAGTCAATGTTTAAAATTACCAAATTATCAAAAATATTTTAAAAAAACTTTCCCTCAATCCGACTTCAAAATCAAAGCACTAAATGCTGGGAAAACAATTTTTTGTTCTGCCATTTCATCTCCACCATCAAATACTTTTTGTGTTTCTTCTCCAAAATTTTTGTCAGTCGAAGCCAAAATTGTAAATTTTTTAGAATTTATTTTATTAAATAATTCTTTTAAAGAAATTGAATTTCCATTTCCACTCCAATTAATTATTAAAGAATAATGCCCAGAAGAACCAGATGGGTAACGATTTATTAAATATAAATCCAAATTTGTAGCCAATGAAGTGTGAATTAACTGGCCAAGTGCAAAATCAGATTGCTTTAAAAAAACAAATTTAAAATTTTTTTCACAAACAATTTATTTACCTGACGTAATTTGGCCAATTTACTAAATACTTTAAGTGGAGAATTTTCATCTTTTATTTGACTCTAAGAATAATTTTAAAAATATTTTTCTTAATTAAAAACAAACTTCATAATCCCCATTTTTGACAATTTGTGGAACAGCAAAAAATTGATTTTCTTTTGTGTAAGTACTCGAATTATCCCATGGATAACCAATTTGATTTGGATTTTTATTTCCAGTTTTTCCGCTTAGTGCAGCTAATTCTTCTCCATAAAGTACACTAACAGATCCAGGGATAAATAACTCAACAAGGGAAAATAAGTGAGAAATTTGTCGACGTTGATCTGGCAAACTAGAAAAAATAGATAAAAATATATTATTTTAAAATTAAATGTTAAAAAGAATTTAAAAAGAATTTTTTATTAGATGTGTAGGCAACAATACGCTTTCAGAAAAACCAACATTCAGGCTTTATTAACTTTTACTCATAAAAAGTTAAAACAAATACCAAAAACTGTTTGATTTTTTGTAAAGAAATTTAAAAGATTATTTAAAAAATGTAAACAATCCCCCCCCCCCCATTCTAATACAATTCAATTCAAATTTACCTAATATCAGTCAATAATTGATCAATTCTATAACCCTTTGCATTTATATTTCCAATATTCCAAATTATTTGTTCAGCATTTCCATTTGTAGTATTTTCATTATTTTTTGATTTCAAGTCAATAGAATCGATATTTTCATTTAATTTTGTTAATAAAGAATTAAATCCTTTCTTTTCTCCAGTTCCAAAAAGTGGACGAATTAAATTAATCTTTCCATTATTTTGAATTCCTTCAGCTTCAGAATAGATATGACTTTAAAAAATCCTTTATAATTAAAAAAATAAAATTTTATTTACATATTTTTCAATTCTGGATCCAAATTAATTTTATTTGCAAAATTTATTAAATCTTCCGAATTTTTTCCTAAGAGTCCATAATCTGCCAGATTTAATGCATCCACTCCTAATTTTGCAAAGTTTCGGGCCAATGCCAAAAGGGGCTCTTGAATTTCTGGATTTTTTAAATTCAAAAGAGTGGCATCACCTGAAATAAAAAATAAATTTGGGTTGAATTGATATGTTTTCGTTTTAAAAGAGGTTTATATTTAAAGTGGAATCACTATATAACAATGCCCGATCCACAACATTTCACCTCAACTAGTACTCCGAACATCACCTCAATTCAGCCAAGTAGGCCGAAAAAAATTTGACCCTATCAATAATATCGAGATTTAAGTATAACAAGTCGTAAACAACCGACTGGGTATACAAAGTTTTCTTTAAAAAAACCCAAAAAACCAACCAGTAGATGGCAAAAGTCCATTTTTTATTTCTTTTTGTTTAACCCAATTTCCATTTCCAGAAGCTACAGTTAAAGGTAAATCAACCAAAACCTTCAAATCCTTTGTATGTGCCGATTTAATTAATTCTTTAAACGATTCTTGTCCACCCAATTCTGTCGAAATTTCCAAATCAATAATTGCTTCAGGCGAAAGTTTGTTTTTGTCATAATTTAAAACAGGAGATGGCCAAATGACAGAAATTCCCATTTGTTTAATTTCTCCAAGCTTTTCCTTAATTCCATCAAAATCACCAAAACCCGCATTTGAATCAAGTTTATTGTCAACATCTTTATAGGCCAACGAGAAGATCTATTAATTATTTTAAAAACTTATAAAAAATAAATTAAAAAAAAACTTTATAAACAGTCATTTTATTTTGCCATTCAACATCAACACATTTTGGACTCATTATTACAATAAGAATTGCCCCAACAAACATTGCCAACCAGACAAGCCAGAAAGCAATAAATAAAGCATAACTTTAAAAATTAAAAAATTAAGAGAAGATTCTGATTTTTACCGAATTGCCTTCCAAAATGGATCATTTCGATATTGTTCTAATTGTTCTTTAGTTAAACCAATTAATTTAGCTGTTGGTTGTACAACATCAACAGTCTCTTTATCCTTAAATTTAATTAATTTTTAAATTTGTTTTGTAATAAACTTTTGTAAATTTGGCAGATTCTAAGTCATTTTCCGTCTTTCCATCCTCCAAAGGTCCATCCGGAATTGGGGGCATTATATTAAAAATGGAATTAGGAATTAAATGAGGTGCTGAAAATACTAAAAAAATAAAGTATATTTTAAAGTATATTTTAAATGAAATGTTTTAAAATTGCAATAAGTAAAAAGCAAGGAAATATAGAGGAAATAATTAGTATTAAACTAACATAGAATTACATCATGCTAATGCAATAAACACTTAAAATGTTTAATCCTTACATACATAAATGGGGTACAGCTCAAAAGGGCGCGCCGCCATAACGGCGCAAAGCCATAACCTGCTAGAAAATTTTTGGCACTTATTAATTTTAATACCAATCTCTTCAGCTCAATGAGGGAAATCGTTTAAGATTCGGAAATCTTGAAGCAAGCTATGGCTTTGCATCGTTATGACCACGTGCCTTTTTGAGCTGCTTAAAAAGATATTTCTAGAAAAATTTCTAGAACGATTTGTATTTCTAGAAAAAACGATTTTAAATTTGCTTAGTAAACTCAAAATGTTAATAATGACGTTGATAAAAGTCTGTAAAGTGAAATAAAATTTAAAAGAGAAAGATAACATCTGACAGCCGAAAACAAAAATCAATATATTTGTGTATGCTGTCACTTTCAGACGAGAGATACATAGAAATTAAAAAAACTATATTACACAGGTAAAGGTGGGGTTTACTGGTCCCTAGGAAAAGAATATGCAAGAATTTTTGAGTTTTTTTCTTTCGATATTTTTGAGGCTTTCCAGTAGTTAATCGAGTGTGCTGAGTCAAACCTCAGTAATTTTTGTATTTTTTGACTTTGATCGGCGGACCGAGACACAAAAATTTAATAAGAAAAATCAACTAAATAGCAAATTTATTCAGTGATATGAAGATAGTTAAGGCAAAAACGATTATCTTACAATTAGTTATACATATGTAGGACAATTTAAGTGATAACTATGTACAACAGGAAAATTAAGATATTTGTACAAACAATGGATATATTTACATATTTACAAGAGGAACAATAAAATATCTATTATTTGGTTAATCGTTCTATCCATTATGTCGTTTCTCACCACTTATTTGTTCAGGACTCATAACCTTACTCATGGCATTGCGGGCGTAGTACAACATATATGCCGCGCTAGTCTATAATTAGAGTGATTTTATAATCAAAAATAAAACGAGAATTACCTTAACATCACGGAATTGCAGCTCTCGCCTATCTAGATCATCGAACAGCTGCCAAAAGTCAGTAGATCGGTCAAGATTCTTCACCCTCGCTGTATAATGCCCCGTATTAGCAGTCCCGGTGTGTGCCTAAAGAAATTTACATATGATCACAAAGATTAGTGAGATATCACTTACAACAATTGCGTATAACGAGTAGAGCGTAATAGTTTCCTTTGAACTATCTGGTGATGCAGGATGAATGTATCGCCGCATATCCAAGTCATCAACAGGAAAATCAATAGCTCGGCTGTCTTTCACCGTTTGTCTGTAATTTTAACTTATTTTTCCTTAATAGAATTTATGTGTCTATTACCCGTCTTCAAAATTGAAGCGTTTAATATGTATGATCAGTACTTCCGGGAGACGCCAAATATAGAGCGATCGGAGAAAATCTTGCTTTCCGCATTTGGAGCAGGTTCGTTCCATAGTCTAAAATGTAAAGAATCGAGTTATATTCAACAAGATTAAATGGTAAAAAACTAACACATGACTCGAAGTGTTTATTCAAACAAGTGACGAGGTTAATCGGTGGTGGCTCGAGTTTCCTAGCATTGATCCTTCCATCAGTAGCAAGGCTCACGCTCAAGTTTATCTGTAAAGAATAAGCATTTCTTTAGAATTAACGGAGAATCTATTGAATTTCTTTTAAAAACCGACCAGTTCTTCGAAGTTGATCCGTGTCACCAAACATATGGGGCAGACAGATGATGTGCAAAGAACAATTCGAAAGATGTCGTTTACTATAGACGAAGAGTATTTTTTCTGCTTTGTGAAGTAGTCATTAGCGTAGCTAGTGATCGTTTTTGAGTTTATAGTGCTGGAACTTTCACTGTACTCCTGTGCAAAATTAACGGGCCAGGTTACCTTAAGTATGATAAAAAGTAAATTCATCTCCCCTTTAATCTTACCCGATTAACATCCTCTGCCAATCTATCTAACAGCAGCATCTGAAACTCATGTGCATCCTCCTCAGCCTTACCATCAAAGTCCGCATTTATCTCCCTGGAGAATGCTCTCTAAAATTGGATGGGATTCTTATACATTTAAAATGTTTAGTACCAGAAAATCCTTTGTGTTCACAGATTTGAACTTGGTGCTCCAGAAGCAATCGGCAACAGCGCTTAAACTTCCTGTTATGGCGCCTTTTGTTCCGCGTGCATTGTTCGAATTGATGTATGGTTTTAAGGCTTTCATGATATAGAGGAAGGCGAACTTTGGTGTGTTGAGCAGTGACTGAAGGACGCAATTCACATAGCAGCTGTATCCTTGATTCGTAAGTCCTGTCATTCCAGTTTCCTGCAAAAAGGGAGATGAAAATTATTAAAGCCACCCGAGCTACTTCTTCGTCTGCTAGTGTAGAAAGTTCCTCGATCTCGTTCATACAATCGTCATAGTAGGCGTCGAATCTTGCACTGGAAGACGTTGACATTTTGATGGTTGTGCACGGAGATGACGAAAACCAAGAGCCACGATGGAAGCTGTAGATAATGCGAAACCCAGTGAAGACCACCAATTAATGGTGAATGAGTGATGGTTGTTTTGGCTAGCGTTGTCATTTTGATGTTTAAATAGTAAAAATTGTGGGTAAAAGAAAATGTAATAAATTTCAGATAATTTGAAAATCCATTTAGATTTTTTAATAATTTATCGTTATTATTGAGATATAAAGCTTTCTCTACATACATAATATGAAAAAATTGTTTGCTTATATTATTTTGATTTAATTAACACATTTTATTCAATTCCAAACAATAAATTTGTCAATTCTTTAGGTCGTTGGCCTGCAATTTTCATTAGAAGCTTTGAGAGAAAATTATTTTTATTTTAGGTACATGTTTTTATTCATTATACTCTTTTATTTACATATGTCCTCAATTTTCTTTTTATTATAAAAACATTATTATTTTTAAAATATTTTTTTTCTAAAATCTCAAGTTTTAATTTAAATATCCAATAGGTAAAACAAAAATTATTTTTCAAATTTTCAAATAAATAATTAAAACTTCTCTTCAATGAATATGCCATCTGCCGATTTTTGTTCATCTTTTTCCCAATCACATTTACGAAAAAATTCTTTATTTCAAAACAAAGTTATGAAGGCTTCTGCTGGGTCAATACTTGGACAACATCTTCGTAGAAAATCAACTGCTGCATTGTTGATGACAAATGAATTAAGAAGAAGTTCGAGAGTTTCTACAAATTCTTTTGAGAAAGTTTGTAGTTAGTTGAAATATTTTTCTAAAAATATTTTTTAGTCACATTTTTGTCTTGGTCCTGATGGTTAGTGAGGAAATTAAATAATTTATTCTGTTTTTAATTTTTTTTATTTTTAAAGGTTTAAGTTTTCACGGAATTAATTTAGTCCCATTTCATAACGGATTTCGTTATACTTTATCAGATCCAACAACTCACAAATCTTCAGAATTATTTTCAATAAGAAATAAAAATATTGACGACATTCCAAAAACAAAATTACATAAAATTACGGACCGATTGTTGGTTGGAAATTTAATTTAAAGAAAATATTTTTTGATTAATTATTAATTTAAATTTTATTAAAGAGTTTTTATGAAAAATCGCGTATTCATTATTTATTGCCAATACTTGTTTTAGTTATTTATTCATTTCTTGGAGGTGCTATATTTTACACAATTGAAGTTTATATAAATTTAAAATTAAAAAAATATTTTTTTAATTAATATAGAGTCCGGCTGAACAAAATGTTTTGATTAAGAAAAAAGAATATGTAGAAAGGGAAGGTACTATAATCAAAAATAAATTTTAATTTAAAAATATTTTTTATTTAAAAGAAAAACATATAATCTCGGAAGTTTTGGCAATTGATAGAAAATTAAAAGAAATGAGAAATAATTACAATTTAAGTACACAAAATAAAAGTGAAATATTAGAGACTTTTGCAAGTATAACTACTTTAAATAAAGAAATATTTAAATATCGGCGTTTGGCAATGAATAGAATACATAAAGTAAAGAATATATATTTTGTTAATTTTTTTTTTAATTTAAAAAGGTTATTTATTGGTATGTACTTCAAAGTTATTACCTTAATGATCAAGAGACATATAAAGTACATTTTTAAATTAAAAAAGAAGTCTTTACTTTTTTTAGTCATCTCTTTTAAATCCGAGCAGCCCTGAACGATTGTGGAAAACACATTTCCAGGCAGGTTCGGGGGAACTTGGTATTGGCCGAATTTTGGCTCTTCGAAATTACACACAACAAGTAATGAAAGGGGAATTTGAAAAAAATTCTAGACAGAAAAATATTTATTTCTAGTTAGCCGAACGTTGTTGGGAACTTGGTTATGGAGCACATAAACCAGAATATTTAAATAAGGCCTTACGTGTTAGTATTGATGAATTTAATAAATTTGTTGGTTTACAACATACACTTACACCTTCCTGGACATTTTGGAATTCAATGTTTTTAGCTGGTATTATTTTTAAAATATTTTTTTCGTTTTTTTTAAATTAATTCCGTTAAAGTAACAACTTATTCAACAATTGGTTATGGAAATATTGTGCCAAAAACAAGACTCGGAAAATTTTTTGCAATGATTTATGCAGTTATTGGAATTCCAATGACTTTTATGTTTAAATAAATTTTTTAGAAAAATTTAAATATTTTTTAAAGGATTTTACACAAACTTGGCCGTTTCTTTCTTCTTTGTTTAGAATGTTTTTGGCATAAACTTATTTGGTTTTTAAAATTAAATTATTTAATTAATTTTTGAATAAAAAAGGTTAATGGAATTTATTAGTTGTGTTAAAGATGCTGAAAAATTAAAAGGAAAAGTGCAAGGTTCTGGTGGAATGCCTGTACTTTTAGCTATCGGAGTTTAATTATTTTTGAAGAAAAAAAATAAAATTATTCCACATACATAGGTTGCCTTTTCTTGGATGTTTTTATGTGCCGCTATTTTTCTTCAATTTGAACAAGATTGGGATTATTTTAAAAGTTTTTATTTCTTTTTTTGTTCACTCACAACTATTGGATACGGTAGGAGAAAATAATATTTTTGTTTAAATTTAAATTTAAATAATTTAGGTGATGTTACCCCAACAAATTCTGAGGATATGTTTATAATGTTTGGATTTATAATTGTTGGCCTTTCACTTGTTTGTTGACATTTTTTTATTTTAAAATTTAAAATTAAAGGTATCAATGTGTATTAATGTTATTCAATTAAAATTAGAAGCATTATTTGAAGAATTACTTTTAACAATGATGGAAGAATATGGAGATACTGGACAAACTGTCGAGGAAATAACGGCGGCAATAGAACCACATATGTCTTTAATGGATTTGTGGAAAGTTTGGAAAAGAAGAAGACAAAGAAGAAGTACACAAATACATTCTGGTAAATTGAACGAATAAATAAATATTTAAAAAAATATTTTAAATAATTTTAAAGAAGATGAACAACAAAAAATAATTTTACCTTCATTACAAAATAAAAAACAAATTTCAATAGAATTACAACCAACAGATTATTTATTATTACCCAGACAATCTAAACAATTTTCAAATAATAATTTAATATCAGAAAGTAATTTTCATCGACTAGTTAAATTATTTCCGTTTGGAAAAATGAGAAGAGAAGCAATTTTGAGGAGATTACAAATGCGCTTTAATAAAGTAAAAAAATAAATTTGAAGAAAAAATTCTTTTTAATTAAGCATCACAAATCGACACAAACAGATTTTTGTTGTTTGCAACATGGACATGGAAGTTTTGCTAGATATCAACCAGATATTAATTTATTTGGTTATGCAACTCAAGAATTGGATGAAGAAGTTGAAAATAAATTTTAATTAAAATTATTTTTATTTTTAGGGTACTTTAACAAACAATTCTTCCTCAGAAATGTCAACAGTTATTAATGAAGGGGTTAACTTTCATGAACAACAACTTGACTTTAATCAGTCAAATGAAGAAAGAAATCAACCAAAAAAAGTTATCTTAGCAAATTCCCCTTCAATTAATTCGTCTAAAGTTTGGAAAAATAAGGGGAAAAACATTTTTTAATTTTTAGAGTAATAATACTTTGAGAGTTGTTGTTACAAATAATTGTGGAGGGGCTAATAATACTATTTCTTCTTCATTATCTTCATCACCAATTGCACTTACAAGTACTTCAAGTAGTTCTTCAACGGCTTACATTAGAAGGTAATTTTTTTAATTAATTTGTTATAAAATTAAAAAGATAACCGGAAAACAACTTAATTTTTAAAAATTATTCTCAAATAAAAAATAATATTTTATTAAAATTTCAACTTTAAACTTTTTTGGTAGATATTTGCCTAGTAACTCACAACGTCGACAAACAAGTTCTCTCTCCTCATCTTTTCAAACTCGTGGTTCTGTTCATTCAGCGCCTTTAAATGAACAAGTTTATTTAAATTTAAATAAAATATTTCAAAAATTTTTCTAAACTAACTTTTTGTACTTATCCCCTTTTATCACACCTCTATTATTTTCGACTTATTGTTAAGGGTGAAATAGCAACAAAAATAACTCATTCGAAGAGGAATTAAATATACAAACTTTTTTTAATTTAAAAACAAGGAAGTGAATTTTACATCATTCAATGAAAAGAAAGAAAGAAAAATTTTTTAATTCTTAAAATTAAAAAAAAAATTAATATTAATTTATATATAAATTTAGCCAGGCTGTTCCTCATATTCGGGTGCAGCTGTTTCAGCTAATTTATCTGTTGGTGTAATGGAAAGGCATTCAGTTAGTGGGCAACAACAAAAGAATTATCTAGAAGAAATTGGACATAGACGTTGGACATTTTTTGAATCAGGAAGAACATCACGTGGGGAACCAAGAGGGTTGGGTGTTCCCTATATGTATACAAAAAAGAAAGCAAAAACAGTTACAAATTTATTTAAATAAATTTTTTCAAAAAATTTTTTATTATAGAATGAAACAACAGAAATGAAAAGATTGATAGCCGAAATTGATTCTAGATTATTGGATTGTCGAACATTAGTGTCGCCATGTTCACGTTCCTTATCAAGAAATTCAATGTCTTCCGATGATTATTTAATAAAGAAACAAAAAGAAAAATAATTTTTGAAAAATTTTTTTTTATTTAAATATTTGTAAATATGTTTGTTTTTGTAGGAATAAAGTATTTGTGAGAGAGAAAAGTTTGCAAAAATATTAGGCAGTGGATTTGAATTTTACCTATATTTTAATAAAATAATTATTTTTTGACAAGAGAGATGAAAATATTTTTGAAAAATATGTATGGAGTTTTTATTGATACTTGAGGTATAATTGAGGGATTTGGAAAAAAATTTTTTTAATTCAGTACTTATGCTTATTAAAAATATACTAATCTTATCCGCTCGATTATTTTAGTGGAATTAATATTATTTTTTATATCTTTTATTCCTGGAACGATTAGTCATTTATGAACATAATATTAAAAAAATATTTTTTTTCATTAATTAATTTTTAATATATTTTCTTAATACAATTC